AACTGCAAACTGGCATTCAGAGCTGCCTCCATTTTGTTAGCAAAGCCCCAGCTTCCAACGATCCGATCAATTCCCGAAGGACGAAATCAAGTCCCGCCCTCTCATTTCAGATGCCGTTTCACTCGGATATACAGTATCTCAGTGAGTACACCCCTCACATTTTTGTAAATATTTTATTATATCTTTTCATGTGACAACACTGAAGAAATGACACTTTGCTACAAAATAAATACTCAAAATAACTCAACATACAGCCATTAATGTCTAAACCGCTGGCCATAAAAGTGAAATATTATATATATATATATATATATATATATTAATAAAAAGGACGTAAGCACTGTAACCAACAGGGCACTCAGTAATCTGGGAAGCATGTGTGCATTGGGAATCATATTTTTTCCCAAGTAAAGCCAATGTAAAATTCCTTTTACATACAGTACACAGTGAAAATTGCATGAATATGATTGTGGGCAAATGGATAACGTGCAGCATAGTTTGAAATCACGAGTTTTAAAGTCCGCGTGAAGTTGCTGCCGACTTTATTTCAGTGTAGTGACGTATTTCCATCTGAAACGGAATATTGAATAGAGGGCATGGTTTTATGTTTGCGCTCCTCCTCTCTGTCTCTCACTCATAGAAATCTAACGGTTGGAGGGGTGTGTTTAAGCATATTCTGCCCAAGCCGTCAAATTGACGTCATCAGAAAAGGAATGCCATTCCAGAGCTGAAGTAAATGTTCAGATTTTGATTAAAAATTACTAAAACAAACAATTTCAGCGGATTAACTTGCACAGATTAATTGTTTACATCAAGACTAGCAATGTGCGCTCGTAAAGTCAATAAAGTCAATTTTGATTTCATGCGGACTTTAAAGTTTGTCGATTGCGCGTCTCCAGTGAACCTGAACCGACCGTCACGCAGAGTAGCCTACACGCGATCACGCAAGATAGAAATGCACACTTCACAAGATCTTACAGCTGGATTTGACTAAGTCTGCAAGATTTGTGGAATTAAATGTTTATCAGATATTCAAAGATTTGTTTAAATGATATAAATGTGTATTTCCTGAATGCTGACGGTAAACGAGAAAGTATTAACTTATAATGTTTGCTATTTTAATACTTTAGTATTAATATAAAAGCAATAGTTATAATACTTTTTTGTATACCTTTTAATTCCGTTGTTTAACAGTTCGATCTAATTATTACACAGACACAGAACTGTTAACGTTGACACCAAACACTGACTAGTAGAGAGAATGTGAGCGCTGTGTGCGCAGGCGCTGTCGTTGTCCGCGTAGTCAAAATAAAAGCCCCTTCGAGCACATCGGCCAAACAGAAACTTGTTGGCCGATCCCGATATAAAAAAAAAAAAATTTTAAAAGCCAAATATCGGGCGATGTATCGGCTGACCACTAATATGTACATATCTATCTATATCTCTCTCTCTCTCTCTCTCTATATATATATATGTATATATATATATACATATATATATATATATATATATATATATGTAATAATTGTAATTTTAGATGACCTTTTGGATGTATTTAATTATAAAACCCTTTATAATCTATAATAACATTAAACTTATTTCATACTTCTTGGATATCAAGACAATCATCCTGCAATTCTGGTACACATACATTGCAAGTAAATTCGCACGTTATATAATGTAAGCATCATTAATGACCCCTTGTGTTTAAACAAAAAGATTGATTAGTGAAATGAAAAGAATGATTTAATAAAAAATGACAAAGATTAGTAATTGTACCTGATACCAACTCTAATTGACCTGATTAGCTAAGCCCTCCATAAAAACACTTCTTATTTAGTGATACAATATTGCAGTATTAGTGATACAGTACAGCACTTGTGTTCCTACTTCAAAATAATAATAATTAGGAACACCTTCTGATTAATGAGAGAAATTAACCTTCCCATTATGGGGCCATATTTGACTCAAAGTGATTTGCAGGGGCATTTTTTAAACCTTCGTAATGCCATTTCTTTCTAACTTTATTAAATTAAACTTTAATAAAATAAACTTTATTAAAACTGTTGTATAAATTAAATATCACATTTGCAAACTCCCTTTATAAAAGTTGTCACTCATTCTTTAAAAAACTAGTTCATCGCGATCTCACTAACTTCCATTAATTAATGAATCTCTCACTGCACACCAAATCTATTATTTAGGCCTACATTATGCCTACACTTTATTTGTTATAATAAAGTGTAGGCATGATGTATAGATCTGAGCTTGAATAACTCAGCACTGAACAAAAACTGCAGTCTGCTTTCACAATCTGTTTTCTGAGGAGCACCTAAAGAGAAGCATTTCCATTGGCTGCAGTCTGCAGAAAAGCAGACATTGCGCTGCAAACCAGACACAAATATCACGCTACATTTTTATTATATATTGCGCTACGTTTATGTGCAGAATTGGGATCACTTTCGTAGGCTATTAAATGGATATAATAGAAATCAAAAAAAAAAATTAGCTAGTTTTGTGTTAGCTGCTGTTGACAAAACAAACATTAGACTGCAAAAACATGCGTAAATCTTCAAAACGTTATTAAATCGCCATCGTTGGGAGAGGCGTCATAATCTAGTTTTGCTCTTTAAACTGCTGTTATTGAACAACCTACAGCCTTGACCGCAACTCTTCATATCTTTCACTTGAATGTTATAAGTTGCACAGCTGGATAACAACTCTCCGTCTTAATTTCAGACTGTAAAGCAACAAAATGTGATTATCTTAAAATGGAGTGATTCTTTTCTGTACCCACTGTATGTATAGATAGACAGACAGACAGACAGACAGATAGAGAGATAGATAGATAGATAGATAGATAGATTTAAATCTTCTCAAATTAACCAGTGCTCAAATTCAGTCTGAATGACTCATTGATTCAATTGGACTGGACTGATCTGCATTGTTATCATAAATAGACGGTTCACTGGAAGGCAAGTTTGTCAGTGAATAGTGTGTATTTCTGCAGCTACTGTACAACTGCAGAAGACTTGTAAATTAGCGCATAGCGCATTGTAGCACTTCTCTTGAGTTCCAAGAAAGTCATACAGGTTTAGAATGACATGATGGTAAGTAAATGAAATGCTAAAGAGTTTTCATTTTTGGGTGAACTATCCTATTGAGGAGTAACCATTTGGGTCATCAACTCTGATTTTTGGTTTACATTTTTTTTTCTCATTCACACCATAAAAGTAAACTTATATAAGGAAGCAACCCTGATTAAATGGGCACTGGTGCTTGCTCTTGGTATGTCTTAAACTAATATTTAGAAGCTACAGCTTTGACATTGCAATTCATCTAAGCAGTCTCATTTGTGACAAACATCCCAGGGCTCCTTGCTTTCCTATACCCCACATCCTGAACAGTTAGCGATTTGTCACATACCTAATCAGCACCCATCCCACAACAAAGCTCTTTTTTTTGTTGTTCTCATGAACTCAATTTAATGTGTCTAAATCCAAATAATCATAGTAGTGCTTTTTCCTGACATTGGCCAAAGGCAGGCGAGTGGGTCTCCCACCTGGAAGCCGTTCAGAGCAGCTTTTCTTCCAGTTTTCGTCATGGAAGATTAGCAAAGATCGTTTCCCCTTTACAACTTGATTCAATAAGTTTGATTATCAGATCAGTCAGTACAGTTAAAGGGTGTGGTTCATTAACAACCTGCTTAGACCTGTGAGAGAGCCCATCTGATAAGAGCTCTGTTACCTGGACTTACCTGATCTACACCCAATATAAAGTCACTCACAGCCAAAACACAGCATTAGCCTATTAGTCCCTTTGGACTTTCATTGTTGGACTGCAGTTAAAATAATAATACATACAAAAAAAGTGGCATTTTCCTGCTGTAATTGCATCCAACTGTCAACAAATATATCACACAAGCAGGCCGTACTGATATTCACCGCAACAGTAAGAATAGTTAAATGAACAAGAAATTATTAATGAGTAACTTACATGTTAGACATAATATCGCCAGTAACTATGTCTAGTTTTACTCTATTAACAAAAGTATTTCTGAACAAAGCAAAAGCAGGGTCGACTGTTGCGTGTCTCAAAGCAACACACATCTTTTTATGCGTCTGTGAAGTTTGTTTGTTTGTTTGTTTTGTGTGTGTGTGTGTGTGTGGTAAATGCTGCATCTCCATGATGAAGGATTTCTAGGTCATATGCTGAAGGAGCAAGGAAACATCTGAGTACTGAGAAACATTTGATTACTGAGAAGTGTTTTCAAACAGGTTGCTTATATACACCCCGTCTTCCATTGGTCAGCCAAACAGGTAGTCCAACCCAAACTCATCCCATTGGTTCAGCCACTGTTACTAATATACTGCTAATGGAATGGTCAAACAAACAGATCAGTATTTTAATAGTGCCACAGTGTTTACACTTTTCAGGGAAATCAAACTACTCCTTTAAATCTTAGGTGAAGTTATTTTCAGCCCATGCTGAAACCATTATAATTTCATGTAAGCACCCAAAACATGCCGATAGTGTTAACTGCACTGCACTGTAAATATTTGGCAAACCCTAAACACTGTAGGCCAGAATGTTTGTTTGTACTGTGGGCTGAGTGCAGCAGAAAGACGCCTTTTTCAGACCATAATAAGGATATCACTCTGTCATTAAGCATATTGCGCAGATCAAAACAACTCCCGATATCACACGTGGCAGGAGAGAGGCGTAGTTAAAATAGAAATGATAGCTGCTTTAAACAGGAACATGGCCTTACATCAACATCAACACTGACATACACTCCCTTGTTGTTACTAAAGGTCAAGATTGTGCCAAGTCAATTTTCAATCTCCATATTTTTATTTTTATTATAATTTTTTTTTTATGTACCTTGGCTCCATACCCATCACATTGGAGTGGATCACTGGCGACTTTTGTTGTGTATGTTTAACTTGCTAATACTCAAGTCAAGCAACATTTGGCTAAATATGGTTGTTGTGTCTTACTTGCTCTATCTCTTCTTCGTACTCTTTCCAGGCTGTCCCGGGACGTATCATCCCAATTCAGTCCCTCTGAGTCCCATGGGCGCTGCTTTCCTGTTTTCCGTTCCTGTGTCACACTCAGGTGCTCAATACCCTCCGAGTTCTACGACCAAAGATGGACAGTTACAAATTATACTTAAAATGTGTATTTTCAGCAGTCAGTATATATACAAACCTTCCTGATGGGAGTTTTGAAATGACTTGTTTTATTTTCGATATTAGATATTTATTTAATAATTTGCAGATTTAATACATTTTTCAATATTTGTACACACACACATATATAAAACTTAAAGAATGTTTAGTAATGTTTTTGAAAGAAGTTTCTGATGGTCATGAAGGCTTCATTTCTTTATTTGACCAAAAAACACAATAAAAATACAGCAATATTGTGATGTTGTGAAATATTATTACAATTCAAAAGAACTGTTTTCTATTTTAATATAAATTGAAAGGTAATTTATAACTGTGATGGCAAAACTGAAATTTCAACAGTCATTACTCCAGTTTTCAGAGTCACATGACCCTTCAGAAATCATTCAAATTTGCTGATTTGTTGTCACTTTTGATCAATGTAATGCATCATTGCTGGATATAAATATTAATTTCTTTCCCAAACCTTTGAACGGTGTGTGTATATATATGGCCTTCACAATAGTCCCATAACCACATTTTTGCCCTTCAATTCATTAAATTTAGTATGATTTCAGTGCTGTTCTCTTTGCCCTATCTAGGTTGAGCCATAACAAATACTGAAGACTGCCAATAAAGATTAAGATTTTAGAGAAATATTTAAGAGATCCAAAGGTTGACTATAACTGCAAGATAATATTTTCATAACAATAATATTTTGGTGATTGTTTATCCAATAGACTGATAGTGAAATGCTACATTTTCATGAATGTCACATTTACTTTTATGCTCTTAGCAGAAGGTTTTCTACCAAACAGTCTTAACATTCCTCACGCAAATGTTTTCCTCCTCAGACTTTATTTTGGCAAGCGCAGTGGAACTAAAAACGCAAAAGAGTGGTATTTTAAACCCTCTGCATTGTTGCTCTTAAACTATTTGAACTATATATAATATATTATATTAGTACTGAAGAGTTTAAGCAAAAGGGAAAAATTCTATATGTTAAAATATTCTTATTTTTCCTGCCAATCATGCTCTTATGTTGTCTTACAGTTTGAGTGACAGGTTCATCAGAGTGGTTAAAAAATGTTTAAAAAACTACATGATTGAGAAAAAATATTAACAGCTTTTTTGAAAGCCTTAAAGAACAGTAAACAGCCAGTCAGACCTACAGCTTGCCAGCTATTTTGAGAAGACAGCGTGCACATGTTTGTTTATGAGGAGGCGTCTTAATCAGCGCTAGTTTCCTGCGCCTGCAAGTGCTCTAAATTCTTCATAAACACCCAAGAGAGTATCTTTCGTGTGTCACTGCAACTTGTCACTGCGTTCTTGCATAGTTTTCCTCCAAAATGCTTCTCTGTCATTCTCTGACTGACTTCATTGTTTATCCCTCCATTCTTTTCCTATCTGTGATGTGTTCTTCGTTTGATAGATGTCATTGTTATGACATGGTCATAAACATGGATGTTCACAAACAAAGGGTCATTTAATCTTTATATCAACTGTTTTTCTGAAGCTGTACAGAGGAAAGACACGCTTCACATTTGAAGTTAATTTGTCATTTCTTTTCCTCAAATTTACAAATACACAATCTGGAGCATGTTTCAAATAGTTCGTTTTGTAAACTGGCACACATTAATTGCAGAACTCAAGCCAGTTAGATTGGATGACTGACAATAAGCTTGTCCTTACGTCTATCATGCATCTTTTTCTGATTTCACTGGCCGTTAATCTTTATCATCTCTGAAAAAATAACAGGAACTCCTCAGTGAATTATGATTATGACCACACCAAGTTACAGTAAATTTAAAATGCATGTGAATTGTTCTCCAAACACGCAAAGCCAGCTGCCGTTCATCATTTGGAGATATATGCAAATCATTTTCACATATATCAAAGCAAATGCTACTTAAAATAACACCTAAAGCCTCTCAAAGCACAAAATTATGACAGATATTATTGTGCAATAGACACATGTGTGTTGCATTAATATTGTTTACAAACCAACAACTAAGTACAAAGGTGAAAGGCCACAGAAGTCACTCACCCACTTCTGATTGGGTATCGCCAGAGATGTCAGCATATCCGCCATAGCACCCAAAATCTGTTCGGTTCGTCCTTGGTTCTTTGGAAGAGACTTCATCTTCCAGCAGCCTCTGTCTATGTGAATCTCCTTGTCGATCTTCCCTCCCTCCTTCAAAATCCCTCTCTTCCTTATGGTTTGTCGTGCCAGAGCTTTGATTCACAGCCCAGCTCCAATTTCGTATGATCCTCTGGAACGCTCTTGCACATAAATAACGAATTATGAAGGAGGATGATCTGTTTTTGTCTAGTTTAAAGTGGACGAGAGAGTGCTGTTGTCCAGACTAAAGCGCCTTCTCTGGCTCTAGTCCTTCACACAGGTGGAAAGGTCTTGCTGTGGGTCTGAGTCAGGCCTCTCTCCCCCTAAACCTGGGGTTGTTCCTGAGAGAGGGTTAACCACACCACAACCAAACCGTAAAGATAGCTTTCTGTTCTTTCTCCTTTGCTTTCCTTTGAGAAAAGTAACTTGTTTTTGCAAGTTCCTTGGCTTTTGGGACCTTTTGTGAACAGAACATTAAAACCGCTCATGAGTCAGCCTTTCTGGATTGTCATTGGCTGCGTGTATCAACCACCCCTTCAGCCGACTCCTCTCCACCCTTTCTAAATCAATTTCATCTTCTATTGTGCCTCCCTTGCACAACACCACACTGGTTCTTAGAACAATCCTCAAGTTTCTGTCCTCCTCCTACTTCTTCATCCTCCTCCTTTTCTTCTTGTACTTTCGCCGTCATTCTCTCTTTTTGTTTTGTTTGTTTCATATTTTTATTCAGCAAAGATGCATTAAATTGATGTACAACACAATAAATTATATATTCGGTCCCACTTTATATTAAGTGGCCTTAACTACTCTGTACTTACATTTAAATGAATCATTTGGTACAATGCACTTATTGTGTACATACATGTTTTTACATTATATTTTAAAAATACCTGCATGTAAATACATCTGTAATTAATTTCTGTAATTACATTTATAATTACACTGTTGACCCATCCCTGACACCTTAACCCACCCTTAAACCTACCCAGACCACCAAACTTGTCCCTAACCTTACCCGTATCCCACCTCAATTGCAGCAAAAGTGTTTTGCAATATGAACACAATCAGTACACTGTACTTATTTTTTGATGTAAGTACATAGTAGTTAAGGCCACTTAATATAAAGTGGATCTATATATTCAAATAAATATTTAATATAAATTCTGTTCTTTTAAAGAATGTATCACAGTTTACACAAAAATATTAAGCAGCACAACTGTTTTCAATTGATAATAATAAGCATATTTGAATGATTTCTGAAGGATCGCATGACACTGAAGACTGGTGTAATGGCTGCTGATAATTCAGCTTTGCCAACACAAGACTAAATTACATTTTAAAACATATTAAAATAGTAAACATTTATTTTAAATTGTAATATTATAGCGTTTTTTAATGTATTTTTCATCAAATAAAAGCAGTCTTGAGCGTAAGAGACTTCTTTCAAAAACATTTTTAAAAAATCTTACTGTAAGTCACTTTGAATAAAAGCATCTGCTAAATGGTTAAATGTAAATGCATTGTCATTAACATTATTAAAGTCACTTTTAAACCAAAAACAACCAATATTGTTAACAAAAACTAAAATGAAAACATTTTCATAAAATAAAAAAAGTATAATAAGCAACATAAAAACATAAACAACAAATATTAAAAGCAATTGGGGAAAAATAAAACTAAACTAAAATACATTTAAATGACTCTAAAACAAAATAAAATGACCAAAAAATTATGTTTGATACACAGTATAAAATTTGAACCTCTTACAATCCATTTCATTAAAAATGACATATTCCACTTGCCACAGTGTTTAACATCTTTAAACATGCTTTGGCAACCCTGAAATACTAAAATTTAAAAACTAAATATATACTAGAAAAACTAAACAGAAACTTGAAAACAAACTATCTTTTTTCATCAAGTAGCAAATGTATTCTGCTATAAATCACTCATCTAATTAACCCGCCATAACAAAGCTTTTTGCTAGATCTTTTGTTTACTTGTCTAGAACCTGTGCGAGACCCATGCTTATTTTAGCCTTGATATTTTCCAGGTTAAATGAATGGCCATGTCATGATACACATACTTGGGTGGCCCACAATATATATGTGTGCTTTTCTGAGCAGAGTAGACATACGCATTCCTGAGTCTGCTGCTCATTCCCTCTTCACCTGGCCTGGAGTCAAGACACACTTTTATATAATTACAAATAGTCTTATTCTCTGTCTTATTACAGCCCAAACCACACACAAATTTGGGTCAGATTTTCACCTAGACAGATTCTTCTGTGATGGTGTATGCTCACAAACACTGAGAGTCAAAGATGAGGAGGACGGTGGAAAGCGGAATGTGATCCGCCTGAGCCCCTCCGAGCTGGAGCCAAACATGTAAAGATGGGCTGTGGAAACACTGCCAAGAGTCTAATAATAACTCTGCACATGGCTGTCTTTAGCACTGCTTTTGTGACTAAACTTAGAGCTCAGTAGCCTGTCCTCCGGAAAACACACACCTCATTCATGTACACACACAAACGCATCATATGGTAGGCTAATAAAGAGAGCTAAAATGACTAAATCTGTCTAGCTAGTGATCTCTGGTACAAAGATAACACAGATCTTTAAAAAAGTTTACAACAACATATCATTAGAAGGACATTTTGTACTTCGAACATAACGACAGTGTGCTGTATATAATTATGCTATAATTTCCACATAATGCTATAATTGCGTTCACAAACGACGAGTCACACGTTCCTCATTTATTACAACTGTCTCCACGAATATGACGACTTGGGAAGTTCATTTTCATAAGGAGTTAAGCACAAAAAAAAACTATGAACGAAAACACACTTAAATTAAGCATGTCAAAACTAAGCACTGAATTGTGCTGAGGTCGATTTTGTGATGGTACACCGAGTACCCTGAAAACACTACATAAACAACACCCTATCTAGTAACAGATGTAGTAATGGTGGCATTTGCTGCCCTCTGCTGGCGCAATGAGGAATAGACACTTAACAGCGCACTGGTAAACTAGTAAACACTGCGGTATCTAATTTGCGTGGTATTACCACACATTAACCAACACATATCAGATTTCATTTCTATTAAATCTCTCTCCTCTTGTGGAGAGAGTCGCCCCACTTGAATGATCTCTAAGGCCAGCTGAGCTTCCTCTTTCTCTGTCTCATTTCCTGAGTCTTTGCCCTGCAATAACTCTTCTGCTTCAGGTCAACAGACTGAGAAAATAACTGTGGCCGCACATCACCTCTCCGCATGCTCTCCGAATCTAACTTATCCAACCAACCTGATGTGATCCAGCTCTAAACTACCCCAAAATTTGGCTGCTTTTGTTTTCCACTGAACAAACACTTTACACACACGTTTTATATATACTCATGAAGTCATGGTTATTTGAATTTAAAGTCAATGATAAAGGCAATGAGGGTAAGAACTTGCACTGTTTTGTGTTTTTGGTGTCATTGTTGTCTTGAATAGAGAACCATTAATGGACTTTGGATTTATGAGACTAAATTAGAACAAGTTTCTTACTACAGAGATTTGAAATGATTGTTTGAGTTGTAACCAGGCTACTATAAATAGAAAAACCATGAATTTAGCTAAAAATTTGTTTGCATCTGGAATACACCATTCCAGTCACTCGTGTTTGTTTTGTTCCAATTTTTCATTCCAAGGCCCTAATAAAATGGGCCAAAATGTATTTTGTGGCTAACCAGCAAATGTGTCAGCTCAATTTCCTGGATAAACTTGAATTTAAAATCCTTGTACTTTGTCTGTTTGTTCTTGTGGTTGTTCACAATACTATGATGTCATGCATAAGTGCCCTACTTTAAGAGTTTCTGCTTTCTCAGATGATGACCTTTCAGAGAAGTGAATATGAAGAACATTGGGCCTCACTAATCATTTCATACATTTTGTGTATTTATGTGGGCAGAAAAAGTTCTCACGCAAAGCTTCCTTCAAATTCACAGTGGATGAATAAGGCCATTGGGAGTATGTGAGTTTTGTATATGTGTGTATATTTGTTGGTTCTAAATATAAACAGCATTGTAAAAATTCAACAATTGTAAAAAATTACTATACATTTCAGCTCTACAGAAGACAACTATTATTATTCAGGTAAGGTCAGTTCGATGTGGATTTGGTTCAATTCAACGGCAATGTCGATGTTAAAGTTTCTTTAATTACAAAACAAGTTCTATCCAGCTATAAAGTAGCTCTAAAGAATGAATATTATTAACTTAAAGAATGAATATTAGTCTTATTCAGATAAACTGAGATCAGTGTTATTTCAATTCCATTTAGTCACTGTGGCAATGTTGCAAATCTTCCTCAATAATGAAACAACTTCAAAGGCAGCTCTACCAAAGACAAATTGTCATAATCCAGTTCAGTTCAGTTCTCATAGTAGTATCAGGTTTGTTCTTATCAAGTATTGTCAGTGCAGTCAAATCGATATTTCTGAAAGCTGATTCTCTTTTAAGCCTTCTTGTAAGCCCCAACAATTTCTGCTTTGACCTAACAGTGCAAACCTATTATGATTTCAGTACAAAAGCTTTTCTACACAGATTTTATGCACAAATATGTGCAAATGCACCTACGTGAATGAGACGCATTGTTTTGAGTGAATCATAATTTGGGGGGATTTCGGAAGTTCCTCAAAACATGGCCACTAATAGGAAGTGAATTACAATGAACTTGATTACATGTCATGCATGGAAATGATTAAATTTTCATCTAATTCGTTACAGATCCATAAGGGCTAAAATAACAGGTGTCTTCACTGGTTGGCCAAGAAACAATTAAGATATTGGAATAGATTAATCACAGTCAGATTATTTTCAGTTTCATTTTTCACCTGACTTCTGCAAAATTAGCGGCGCCTGGCTGTAAGATGTGTGGCATGAGGTGTAACCTGGTCTTCTCTGATATGCTTAAGCTTGTTTTAAATGGCTAAACTCTACCATATTCTGATCCATAGCTATTTCAGGGCATGTAAGACACAGGCGGTTTGAAGACATGCCAGGCACAAACAGGAAAGGAACAATACAATACAACGTGCTAGAAAATCAATTAGTGGCAGGATGATTATAATAACTGCAGCAAAGTTCATAATACACTTCCCAGCCATCACATGTTCTGTGAGCTATACTGTTTTATGGTTTTATAAGTGTAAAATTCTATAGTGGTTGTATTGTGTGTCAAAAATCCCCAGTTAATTATAAAATAGTCTGTTGCGCTCAATAAAAAGGGACCTATTTTAGTCAGTCAAAGAGAAACATGCCAGCTCAGACTGAAGAAATGAAGCAGTGACAACCTTACAACCACAGACTCCTGGCAGCTGCCATTTCTGAATGTTAATCCACAAATCTCCTGTAATCAGGATGA